TTGTGGTGTGTGTGTGTGGTGGGTGGGTGTGTGTGTGTGTTTGTGCGTGTGTGTGTGTGTTATGCTGTTGTATAGCCTCGGCATATGTATGCTGTCTTGTCTTGACCAACTATAGTACAGTTGTTTGGGTTGAGGTGCTTGGCATGCGTCCAATGCCATGTTTGACAGCACAAAATCAGATCGCAGCATCTAAAAATAGCATCACATGGAGCTCGCTCTTACCCAACTGGATAGTCGGTTAAACTCTCTGGTCGCACGTTTAATCTCGCGCTCGCTGATTTCTTATTGAAAGCAGATAAACCATGTGTCATTGTTGAAATAGTTCGTTGTCTGTCAATAGTGTGATAGGCTTTATTTTGGGGGGTCGGAAAACCTGCAAAGGCCCAGGACTTAAAGATGCATGGGACAAATGGCAATAACCAATCAGATCACCCCATTCGCTAATAGATATGTCGTCATGTTCTGCTCCCCACAGTATCGTAAGCTATATCCTGGGCTTGAGTAACCTGCATCCACCCAAACGGCGACAGCCAATCACATAGCGCCTTCTATTAATAGACATTTCACCTCTCCTCTCCCCACAGCATGGTGGGCTATATCCTGGGCTTGGGTGATCGGCACCCGTCCAATCTCATGCTGGACAGGGTCAGTGGGAAGATCATTCACATCGACTTTGGTGACTGCTTTGAGGTGGCGATGCACAGAGAGAAGTTCCCCGAGAAGGTCCCCTTCAGGTCAGTGATAGGGATGTGGATGGGTGCTTGTATGGTTTTGTGCTGGAGTGTATGGAGAGAAAGTCCCCTTCAGGTCAGTGATAAGGATGTGGATGGGTGCTTGTATGGTGTCGTGCTGGAGTGTATGGAGAGAAAGCCCCCTTCAGGTCGGTGATAAGGATGTGGATGGGTGTTTGTATGGTGTTGTGCTGGAGTGTATGGAGAGAAAGTCCCCTTCAGGTCAGTGATAAGGATGTGGATGGGTGCTTGTATGGTTTTGTGCTGGAGTATATGGAGACAGGAGTCGATTGGCAGGCATGCAGGAATGGATGGTGACATGTTTGTAGGCTAGGCTGTATGGCGATATGCTTTTGGAAGTTGATATGTGGAATATCACTTTGTATGTGTGTGATTGTCTATTGAATTTGATATCTTATCCACTCGGGTGTATCTGAGCTGTGCGATGTGTTTAGAGCAGCGGATTGAGAACACGTGGTCTGTACCTCACACCATAGACTACCGCAGAAAGGTGCACCTACACATGTAGAAGTAGCAGTTGTGCGAGAGTATGTGTCGGGGAGTGTGTGGGCGTTTAAAGCAGCGGATTGAGATCACGTGGTCTGTACCTTACACCATAGTGACTACCGCGGATGCGTGCACCTGCACATGTACAAGTAGCAGTTGTGCGAGAGTGTGTGTCGGCGAGTGTGTGTGGCGATTACCAAGGATGTGTGCGAACATACATTTACTTGTAGTAAATCTGCCAATGGACGCATATGTATTACTAAATACTCGTTCATATGCTTGTACACGGCTTGTGATTGAACCATACTTCGACTGTTTATACCGTACAATGAATGTGTACAATTACACATATGCATGTGATCTTGGACACCTTTCATGCATACGCTTCCACTTATACATACAATCTCGGGCACATTTCATGTGTATGTAGCTCGCTTACACACTGTCTCGTGTGTATCAAGAATTTTATCTCCTAAAAACTACTGCCGATATCATAAGGCATGTATGCACGCACATAATCAGATAGAGTATATATATAGGCCCGCATATCATACCTGCACTTAACCAGTAACCCATCTGTGGTGATCTATTCTTATCCGTGTGGTATTTCCTTGCTTGCTTTCCAATCAACTGAGATGTTTGTGTCATGCACCATTTGGCCTATCTATCCGACCGTTAAATCGTTAACTACTTCTTCGCATACACCGAGCAAGTGTCACATGCGTGTACACGGTTACAAACACTCCGTAAAACAACGGGTATCGTGTATTCGTTAAACGTAAACGATCGCCAGCTCCTGCTTCTCCGACGGACAAGCCTTTACAATTGTTTTGTCACACGCTCTCAAGATTGTCAACACCATGCAGGGCTGCATGCATGTGTACATACGCTTGTTAACGTATCGCTTCATCTTACCCTTGTACCGTACTACATGGGTGCATGCATGTGTCCATACGCTTGTTAATGTATCACTTCATCTTACCCTTGTACCGTGCTACATGGGTGCATGCATGTTTACATACGTCGCTGAGGGTGGCTTGTTTATGTATCACTTCTCCTTACCCTTGTACCGTACTTCATGGCTGCATGTATGTGTACAGTGGCTAGTGTCTCATATCCCCTGGTTCTTCTCCTTGCCATGTACTACATGGCTGCATGCATGTGTACAGTGGCGTGTGTCTCATATCCCCTGGTTCTTCTCCTTGTCATGTACTACATGGCTGCATGCATGTGTACAGTGGCGTGTGTCTCATATCCCCTGGTTCTTCTCCTTGTTATGTACTACATGGCTGCATGCATGTGTACAGTGGCGTGTGTCTCATATCCCCTGGTTCTTCTCCTTGTCATGTGCTTGATTGTCCTGGTAGGTTGACGCGTATGCTGGTGAATGCGATGGAAGTCAGTGGCATTGAGGGCAACTACCGAATGACCTGCAACAACACACTCAGGGTACTCAGAGACAACAGAGACAGGTGTGTTACTATATCAAACAGAGACA